CGCGGGAGCAGCTGGGGGCCCGGGTGACCCTTGGGGCTGCTGACACCTGGCGTGAGCACACACAGGGAGGCCTTGGGCGGTGACCAGGGCGCAGAGTCGGGGAGAGATGGGGGAGCTGGGGCCCAGGGGAAGAGCTGGGGAGCACACCCCGCCCCAGGGCAGGGGGTCTGGCGGGCCACCTGCGCCTGATGCCGGCACCCGCGGGAAGCCCAGCTGGCGGCGCTCGCGGCCCGACCGGCCCCCCATATCCGCAGATCTGCTGGGGCCGTGGGGTGGCCCGAGGGCAGCTGCAGTGGGTGTCCCTGTGGGGCTTCCAGCTCCTTCCTCTTGCTGAGAAAGCGCAGCCCCTTCCTCCGCCCTCCCCTGGGCCCCTGGAGGTTGGGGGCCTTCCCGCTCACCCCCCCCCCAGGGCGTTTACAACCTTGTGGGAGGTGATGACACATCTGGCTAAGGGGCACCCTCGGCCGGCCGAGGGTCACAGGTTGCGTGGAGCCTGCCAGTGCAAAGGGCTGGCTGGTCAGCGGGGACTGTCCCTCCCAGCCTGCTGGCCCGGCCCCGCCCCCCAGGGTCAGCTGTGACAGCTCACGCTGTGCAGTCCCCGAAAGCCACCCAGCAGGACTGTCTTTGTTTTAAGACTCGAGGCAGCTGGGGGGCCGTGGGGAGCCCCTGGCTGTGCTGCTCAGGAGTGAGCAGGAAACGGAGCGCAGGCCGCGGGCAGAGGGAGCCCTGGCCGCCCCTGCGCGTCCCCTGGGTTCCCCAGCACGGCGCGAGGCGGCCCGGTGAGCCCCGCCAGGGCCTGGGCGAGAGAGAGCAGAGCTTCGCCGTCGTGTCGCTTTGTCCCCTTGGCGAGCCGGCACGGAGAAGCTGCCGTGTGAGACACGGGCGTGCCTTTATGCCGAGAGACGCGGGGGGCAGGCGTGGGCCTCTCTTAGACTTACCCCGCGGCCACCTTGAACCCGTCCGGGCGGTTACGTCCAAGCTGCAGGCCTCACTGTGCTCCGAGGCGGACGCCAGAGACCTGGGGAGCGGGGGCAGCGCCACCCCGCTGGTCTCCTGCGAGCAGACCCCCAGCTTTTCGTTACTGTTACTTTTATTATGAGCGGACACCCGTGGGAAGCTGTAGGACCCCGACGGGCGCAGGCGGGCTCTGGGCACCGGGATGTGCCATGTTTCTGGGATCTGGGATGTTTCTGACAGCGAAAAGCCGTCACCAGACGCGGGAAGCCAGTCTGGCCGTGCGGGAGGCCGGGTCACAAGACGTCCAGTGGGCGCCACCATGGAGGCGGAAGGCACCGCCCGCGGGGCTCCCGCCTGCTCAGGAGGGGGGGGTCCGGTGCTGTCCCCGTGAGCCCGGCGCTCGCTCTGCGACAAGGGCTAGAAACATGACGGTCCGCTCTCTCGCTTGCAGCATTCTCGAAGCTCCGCTCTGCTGTTTACCGGCTGCTTGTCATTCGCCCAACAAGTACATGCAGAGTGGGGAGACCGGCGCCCCTGCCTCCCTGTAGTCGGGGAGGCCCGTGCCCACGTGCACCTGCGGGGAGGCGCCGGCGGCACAGGGCGAGCAGCGAGGCCCGTGGAAGGCGAGGCCGGGCGGAGGGCGCACAGGGGCGGGGGGGTGCAGCAGCAGCAGCGCTGGGGCGCTGGCGGAGGCCGTTTCCGTCCTCAAGGATGGCCTTTAGTCACCGGAGAGCGGGGACTGAGAGCCGAGGAGTCGCCCGCAGGCCCCGCCTGCCCGGAGGCGCGTGGGTGTCGCCTGTCGGACTCAGGGCCCAGCTCCGCCGCCCTCCAGCCCTGCAGCCCTCAGCGCCTGGCCTGTGTTTGCACTGAGTGTCCGTTCGGGGCCAGTCTCGGGGCTCAGCTCAGGAGCAAGAGAGAAGGCCCTGCCCCTGGGGCTGCAGCAGGAGCCCGGGCTCGCCCGCTCCGGGCCGCGCCCCCGTCACCTCCTCCCCGGGCCACGCCCTGCGCCCCACGTGGCTGTGGGTACCTGCCCAGCCGTCTCGCCTCCACCCTTGCCAAGTAGGACCTGACCTCGGACTCGCTGACCCGCTGGACTGCGGCCCTGGGCCCGCGCACCCCGCCTTCGGGGCCCCCTCAGAGCACGCACATGGCGCATGCCGGCCAGGCGCGATGGCGAGGTGGGGGCCTCCGCACCGTCTGGGGGGCCACGTGCCCCACCAGCGCTCTGCGGGCAGGGAGCGAGTGACAGGCGCACGGCGGCGCCCCACGCGCCTCCCCGAGCCTGGCGGGCGGGGTCCCCAGCACTCATGCCGCGTCACCCTCCAAAGACGCAGCCAGGCCTTTCTCGACGGCGGCCCAGCAGCTCTTCTCTGAACCAGTGGAAGTGGAAGCTTTCCCGAGAGCCCCTTCACCGCCGGCTGCTCTGGCTGCCTCGGGGAACACTGACGTCCGGCCGCACGCCGTGCTTTCGTTTTCCATGCACCGAGGTGCCCCTCGCTTGCGTAACGACGTGGCCGCTGCGTGGCCAGGCCCGGCCGGCCGGCCGGCGCTGCCGCCCTCCGGAGACGGCCTGCGTTCGGTGTTATTTCTGCCAGCAGAGGAAGGGTCTTGGCCTCGCCGGGTCACGGCCTGTGATCGCCGCGCTCGAGGCTTTCCTTCCTGGTGGCTCATCCCGGCAGCCGTGCGCCAAGAGTCCAGCGTGAGGGCTGTGTCCGGGCCCGTGGGCGACCTGGCCGCCTCTGCGCCCTGGTGGCTGGAGGCCCCTCAGGGCAGCAGGGTGGCCGGGGCAGTGGTCCAGCCGTGGGCAGGCCAGGCCGGGAGCCAGGGAGCGGTGAGCCGCGGTAACTGAGCGTCGGAAACGACCATCTTCCCGCAGGTTCTGAGGCTCAGGAACCTGGGGGGTGTTGGGGGGGCTTCGCTCACTCCACTTTTCTTCTGGGAAATAAAATTAAAACCGCCTCTCGCGACGGGGATGTTGCCGCTGTGTTCTGACTGATGAGCCGTCGGCATCAGGGTCCGG